GGCAATGGGGGAGGGGTGACAGGAGGCTGAGCCAGACACAGAGCCACACACAAGAACACAGGGCCAGCCCTCAGGGAGGGGAGGAATTGGCAGGCAGCACACAGCGGCCTGGGTGAGGCCATTGGGCCGACGCCGCGGGCAGAGCGAGGGAGACAGGGTCCTCGCAGCTGCAGCAAGAGGGACCAGAAACAGCCCAGCACCAGCAGCACCACCTCTCCCACGCACAGCCCACACTGGGAAAGCCGGCTCATCCTGCCCCGTGCAGCAGGCGGCCAGCTGGCCTGGCAGGAGGCAGATCCCCAACTCCAGCATCTCTGCTCCCTCCGCGAAGGCAGTAGAGTGGCCACTGCCTGAGCACACAATGTCTGGGTGGGTGCACAGAGCAGTGCTGGGGGTGCCCGGGGCCGATGTCACACCTCCCGCTGTGGGGGCATTTCCACGACACAAGGACAGAGCAGTCACTGCATATCTCCATCACTGGCCCGGTTTCTTGGGGAGCCTGGCAGGGCATCCACCCCCACAAGCCCTCCCCATCGGGCCCTAGGGAGGCGGCCATCTGACTCAAGCCCCACCTATCCAGGAGCAGCCGGGGAGGTGGGGGGCCTGAGCTGGCAGAGACACTGCCACAGTCCCCTGGAGCTCAAATGGGAAACATCATGGGGGCGCTGGCTCAGCCACCCAGGAGCCAGGGCAGGAGCCCCATTCCCTCCTCCTGGGCAGCACTCACAGGAAGTCTAACCTTGCTCCTCTCCCCTGCCCAGCACATGACCCGACATCCCCCACCCCACCCCATCAGCAGGGGACCTTCCAGTCCAGGGGGCACGGGGCAGCCTTACCCACCACCCCCTCAGCTCCCAGCTTGGCGCTGGCCGACGCCCGCTCACCTGGGCTCTCGCACAGCCAGGTGCAGTCCTGCACCCTCACCTACCAGGTCAGCTCCCGCAGGGAGAGTTTGGAGTGCTTCCCCAGCGAGATGAACTTCTTTGTATTCCTCGGGAGGGAAGCTTGTGCCTGGAGACAGGCCCGCAGGAACTCGTGCACCTGCCACGGGCCACTGTGCTGCTGCAGGAGCCGCACCAGGCGCCAGGCACCGGGAGCCCGTGTCCTCCTGGGGGTCAGCGGCCGGCCTTGGGGACCGCACCTGCGTGGCCGGCCCCCGCAGCGGGCAGTGTGTCCGGAGGAGCGAGCCGTAGGGGCACCCCGTGTGGTTCGCAAGCAGCTTCTGGAACAGCGGCCGCGGCCTGCGGCTACCCCTGGGCCTCGGCGTCCAGCCCAGGAAGATGGCCTCCAGCAGCCTCCGGGCACCCGCCAGGCTGGGCCGCAGGGAGTTCAGTGGGAAAGATGCGCGCAGCCGCTCGCCGTCGCCCAGGTAAGTAGAGGAAGCGCTTGGTCTCCGCGTACACTTGAGCCTTCGGAGGTGGTGACCGCCGGGTGGCGGAGTGGCTGGGCTCCCGCTTAGTCCACTCCCGTGGAAGCCCTGGAGCGCGTGGTCTCGGAACACTCCGCAGGCGTCACCGCACAGGCCCGGGACATGCCCACGCCCCGAACTGCAGGCTGGCGAGCCGAGGGGCGCCCAGGCCTCGCCACCGCTGCTGTTCCGAACCCATCGCGTGGCCGCGGGGCCCGCCTGGGTCCCACAAGCGCATGGTGCAGGAGGGCCAGGCCTGGGCGACGGGCGCAGAGCTCCTACAGAGGCGGTCCACACACCTGGTAGGCGCAGCTCGGGGCCAGCAGCAGGTAGAGTGCGCAGCATGCCAGCAGGTGCATGAGCATGTTGCCCACGCGGCGCAGCAGCAGCCCCCACGCGCCGCTGTCGCGCAGCGTCTCAGTCACCGTGTTGGGCAGGTAGCTGCTCACGCAGGTGGTGAAGGCCCAGGGCAGGCCTCCGCGGGCGCCGTCCAGCAGCACGAAGCTGAAGGCTAAGTCTCGGCCTGCAGCACCAGTATCCCATATGGGCATTAGTTCATGTACCAGCTGCTCCACTTCAGATCCAGCCCCCGGTTAATGGCCTGGGAATACAGTGGAGGATGGCCAAATACTTGGGCCCCTGCACCTGCGTGGGAGGTCTGGAAAAAGTTCCTGACTCCTGGTTTTGGATTGGCCCAGTTCTGGCCATTGTGGCCAACTGGAGAGTGAGCCAGCAAATGGAAGACCTAGTCTCAATAATTCTACCTCTCAAATAAATAAGTAAATCATAAAAAAAATTAAAAACGGAACAGAGATGGCCACAACAGAATGTTCTAGGCTAGGCCAAAGCCAGGCACTCCATCCAGGTCTCCCACATGTGTGGCATAGGTCCAATACTTTGGCCATTTTCCAAACTAGGACCAGAATTATATAGGGGACATAAATCAGCACTCCAATATGGGATGTCTGCACTGCAAGTAGTAGCTTAACCACTGTGCCTCAAAGCCAGCCCCAAAACAATTCCATTTGAAGTCAAATGTACAACATCATACAGATCTAGTTGAAATTTAGACAATTCTTGTACAAAATAACTACCCTGGACTTAACACAAATTTATCAGCCTGGAAGTAATGAAGAACAGTTGCCTCAGATTTTGCCCCCTCACCTTTCTGTTCGTATATCTAGGCCATCCTGTAACAGCCCTCCTCCCAAAGATGTCCGTATCTCCTGAACATGTGAATGTGTTAGCTTACGTGGCAAAACAGACTGCAAGTGCGAATGTGTCTAAGTTCTTAGGGTAAGAAAATTAACCCAGATAAAGTAGGTGAGACCATTCTCAGTACACAAAGTCTTTACAAGTGAAGAAGCTTTGCTAGCTGTGGTCAGAGGAACAGTGGACTGCAGAAGGACAATGAGATGGTGGAAAAAGCCTCCAGTCAAGGAATGCAGGCATCTTCCAGCAACTCCCAAAAGCAAGCAGATTCTCCCATGGAATCTGTGAAGAACTGTGGCCAGCAAAAGGAAACTCAGGCAGCGAGGACTGCCTTGAGCACTAATAATGAGCATTTGGTGCCAGGAGTGCTCCCCAGACACTACCATAACTGAAAAGGCCCTCCCAGACTTTCAATGTCCCTGAGGTAGTGCAACCCCGTCCTAGCTGAGAATCACTGCATTCATGAAGAGCGACTTGTCAGAAACATTGAGAATGAATAATCAGATTCTAAGACTGAAATTCAAATATTCTGATTGATGTTAATAATTACTTTTAATGTACTCATAGGCCTTATTTTCTATTATAAATAAAATATTCAAAATTAACACACATCATATTATTTATGTACTTCAATGAAATACATGTGGCAGGCAATTTTATTCCTAACTTTCTGATCAATTTCCTTACCAGGTCAGCCATTCATAACCCATCACTAGAATGGAATCTACACTTATCTTAGCCAAAAGTCTGAGAAGCAATTAGAATGGAATCTAATGGAAGCCAAAGGGAGATATATTTTTTGACTCTAAAAGAATATATGGTGGGAAATGTGGCACCGCAGATAAAGCTACCATTTGGGACACCTGGTCTGTCATATATATTCCTTCTATACCTAATGTGGGGAGGGTTTTTATAATTAAGAGGTTTTAAAATTTTTAAGGTTTATTTTTTATTTATTTGAAATTCAGAGTTAGAGAGAGAGAGGGAGAGACAGAGAGAGACAGAGGGGGGTCCTCCATCTGCTGGTTCACTCCCCAAATGGCTGCAACACCTGGCGCTAGGCCAGGCTAAAGCCAGGAGCCAGGAGTTTCATCCAGGTCTCCCAGGTCAGTGCAGAGGTCCGAGCAAAACTGGGCCATTTTGGAATGCTGGCTCAAAGTTCTAGCTGCTCTGCTTCTGATATAGGTTTGTGCTGATGCACCTTTAGAGGCAGCAGATGTTGCCTCAAGTGTCTGTGACCTGACCCTGACACCCACTGCCAAAACCCAGATGGAATTCCAGGCTTCTATCTCTGGCCTGGCCCAGCAGAAGCAGTTACAGTCATTCATGGACTGAAGAAGAAGTTGGAAAATCTGTCATTCTGCCTTTCAATTATATTAAAATAAACATTTTTTTTTAAAAGAAACACACTCATTTAAAACCATTTAAAAATAAATTCAGTATGATGAACTTCACTCTCAACAGTATGATTTTGGTATTGTGCTAAATTATAATTTCATATATGAAATACAAACTGGAAGATTTTACTGTAGGGGCTAGCACTGTAGTGTGGTGGGTTAAACTGCCACCTGAGAAACCAGCATCCTATATGGGCACCAGTTCAATTCCAGGCTGCTCTGCTTCTGATCCAGCTTCCTGCTAATCCACCTGGAAAGGATGAGGAAGATTAATTTGGTCTGGCCCAACTCCTGCTATTGCGGCCATTTGGGGAGTGAACCAGTTGATGGAAGATCTCTCTCTCTCCTTCTCCTTCTGTAATTCTGCCTTTCAAATAAAATAAATAAATCTTTTAAAAAATAGATTTTGTTGTACTCACCTAAGGAGTTAAGAAGGAATAATACTTTGATATTTCAAAGATGAATAATTTTTTAAATAATAAGTGACATAATATATGTGAGGGCTTCAAAAATTTCTTCAAAAATGCAAATTGAAAGGGAGGGTAGAGGAGGAAATTGTCACTATGTCCTTAAATCTGTATATATGAAATATATGAAATTTGTATAACTTAAATAAATTTTTTTTAAAAAATGCATATTTTCCACAAATTTATTGATGGAAATTTAACTTCTATTAATGTATTTGTATCATCCTATTTTTATGGTCTTGCAAATAAAGAGACTTTAGGGAACTTTAAAGAGCTTAGAGGGAAAAGGAGAGTTAGTATCAGCACTTCAAAACTCTGCCAAAGAAGGATTCCATGAACAAACAATAATTTGGGGCTTGGTTGTCACTTTTGCTTGGTCATTCTGGTTATCTGAAGGCTTTATTTCATTATTTGCATTTGTGACTCTAATACTATACCAATGAAAGTACAGGAACGAAACTGCATGAGACAGGATCAGGGCATCAGGTTGAGGCAGGAGACAGCTGCAGCTTAATTAGGGAAGCAAAGAGAGAGAGGAAAATTCTGAGAGCTTCAAAAGGTAAAAACAACTTGTTTTTCTACTTGCTTCACATAGGATAAGTTACTCAAAGTTACCTACGTAGGGTTAATTTTGGGAAACACCTGTACAGTGACATTTCCCAAGGATCAACAGATGTCACAAAACTGCTAATTAAGTTAAATCCTGAGGAACATCTCTTCAGACAAAAAAGGTTATACAAAGACCCATATGTAAAAAAAAAAAAGAAAGAGGCTGGCGCTGTGGCTCAATAGGCTAATCCTCCGCCTGCGGCACTGGCACACAGGGTTCTAGTCCCGGTTGCTCCTCTTCCAGGCCAGCTCTCTGCTGTGGCCCGGGAGTGCAGTGGAGGATGGCCCAAGTCCTTGGGCCCTGCACCCCATGGGAGACCAGGAGAAGCACCTGGCTCTTGGCTTCAGATCAGTGTGGTGCGCCGGCTGCAACACGCCAGCCGCAGTGGCCATTGGAGGGTGAACCAATGGCAAAGGAAGACCTTTCTCTCTGTCTCTCTCTCTCTCACTGTCCACTCTGCCTGTCCAAAAAAAAAAAAAAAAAAAAAAAGATCCATATGTATTACAAAGATCAAAACAGAAAAGCCCATCAACTGAAACAAACAAAAATAGATGACTGAGATCCACCTTGGTACTGTAAAGAGAAAAAGCTATGGCCACAATCTTCCATGAGAACTTCTAGAAAAGAGAAATCAGCTCCATGACAGCATCAGCCCACCTTCAAGGATCCTTAAATTCTTTCAAAATAAATCTAAAAAAAAAAAAAAAAGTTCTTCCTGGCTTACTCTTCTCCCAATCTACATAAATGGCAACATATCAGTTAAATTTGCGGAAGTGGCATGTCTTTAGCCAGTGCTACTTGTCCCTTTACCCTTATTCAAGAACCCGCAGTGCTTATTGCCAGGAACATTTTCCTCTTTATTTACCTGTTTATATAAAGGCCTCTCACAGGTTGGAGAGAGAATGTCTCTCTCTGGTTCAGTTGGACAAGCCTCAAAAGATTCTGGCACAAGGAAAACACTAAAAAGATTCATAAAAAGCAATAAATTAAAAAATAATTAATAAAGTAATATTGTAAGAGGCTCATCCAAAATACGAAAGGTGAGGGCAGCATTGTGGCATAGTGGGTAAAGCTGCCAACTGCAGCACTGGCATCCCATATGGGTGCCGGTTCAAATCCTGGCTGCTCTACATCTGATCAAGCTCCCTGCATAATGCCCCAAATACCTGGGCCCCTGCACCCACATGGGAGATGTGGAAGAAGCTCCTGGCTCCTGGCTTTGGACTGACCCAGCCCAACCACTGTGGCCATTTGGGAAGTGAGCCAGCCAAAGAAATATCTGTCTCCCACCCCACCAACTATACCCCATAACTTCACCTTTCAAATAAAATCTTTAAAAGGAAAAAAAAAAAGGTTTCCTCATAAAGAAACCAATTTCTTCAACTTTGTTATATATCACCAACCACATGAAAATTGTTTTTTGAGAGGACAATTGCTGCTTCTTTCAAAAATATCTCCTAGGACAGATGTGTCCAAGTGTAACAATGCAAAGATACACTATCACTGATCACAAGACCAGATCACCTGAGAATCTTCCAGTGCACAGAAGAAACATACAAGGCCATTCCTGAAAGCCCAAGACTCCTCCTGAATTTCCCCCAGCTGCTGTTCTGTGCCTATGGCAAAGCCCTCCCTGAGCAACAAGGAAACAGGTGGTTTGGAGCAAGAGCCCTTACCTCCTATGCTGGCCACCCAGGTGAACTCCTCTTTGTAAAAACTGGTGTCTTGGCGTTGCCCTCTCATTTCAGTGGTAGAGTCTGAAGAAGACACACAGAAGTAACACCTCACAAAGAGAAGGAAAAGAACAGGTCATTAGCCTGGATACCAGGTTTCTGAAAGAGAGAGTATCTTTGGTATCTGTCACTTCTTCACCTCCTTCAGTGACACCTTTGTCCATGTCACTGTTTGTCAAAGAAACCATCTGCCCAGTGACAGGTGGGACAAAGGTGAAGGCTGACCTAGACAAATCCTCACCATATACTGCCATGTTGGCTGGCCAGACGTGGCCCAGAGGTGCAACCAGCCAGGCATCACTGCCCTACACATCAAACTCTGGGCTACAGAGGAACAGAACCAAGACCCCTGGACCTAGGGCCCAGTCAGCCCACTTGGGTACGATTGAGGATGTCACCCAGACGCTCACACAGCACCCACAGGAAAGGTGACAGTTGTGGTTGCTGACTCACCAGATGGCTTTCTGTTAACAAACTGCCATGATGGAAGCTAAAAACAAATTGGTTTTGGTGTCGCCAACTATGCCTTATAAAGAGCACCAGTGAGAGATGCCCTTCATTCAGTCCAACATGGACTCTGACATTGACAGCTTTAAGACCAGTGACTTTTTTTTTTTTTTGACAGGCAGAGTGGACAGTGAGAGAGAGAGACAGAGAGAAAGGTCTTCCTTTGCCATTGGTTCACCCTTTAATGGCCACTGCGGCCAGCGTGCTGCGGCCCGCGCACCGCGCTGATCCAAAGGCAGGAGCCAGGTGCTTATCCTGGTCTCTCATGGGGTGCAGGGCCCAAGGACTTGGGTCATCCTCCACTGCACTCCCGGGCCACAGCAGAGAGCTGGCCTGGAAGAGGGACAACCGGGACAGAATCCGGCACCCTGACTGGGACTAGAACCCAGTGTGCCGGCGCCACAAGGCGGAGGATTAGCCTATTGAGCCACGGCACCAGCCAAGACCAGTGACCTTTAAAAATCATTTTCTCCTAAATAATGTAAGTTATGATTCAGTTTAAGAGTTTTAGACTTTTAGAACACCTAGCCAAGGAACATCTTTAGAAGAGTTTTCCTGATGCTAATTTCTAACTTATTGAGATATTATGTGAGGATATTTACAGGTAACCTCTATTGATCTGAATTGCTGATTTTCACTTTTCAGATCCTAGGCCTTCTAAGATTCTTTTTTCTCAAAATGCCTAAATCTGATCAACTTAACCAAAAAGTTTTATAAAAGAGAGAACTAAGGCTGTAAAAAGATTATACCAAAAATGTTGCTTTTGCATCTGGAAATACGAATAAAATGTAATAAGACAGAATAATGACACTGGAAAAAAATCTGAAATTTATATCTAACTTTACTACCACCAATGTTCAGTAATTATATCAATCACACATTATTAAACATTATTCTTTCTAAATCCTTGAAGCCTTTTTAACATATCAAGAATTATAAACCACATACAAATATTTATGTAATAAGGACACAAATTTATTATCCTACGACTTTGATTTAAAATAGTCCCTTTCCAAATGTTTTATTTTTAATATATAATCCATTTTGGTATACATTTATATGTATATATAAATATATAAATGTATATATAAAATATATATGTATATATACATATACACACACAAATGCCTGTGAACAGAACTTTTTTTTAAAGATTTATTTTACTTGAAAGTCAGAGTTACACAAAGAGAAGGAGAGGCAGAGAGAGAGAGAGAGAGGTCCTCCACCCACTGGTTTACTCCCCAATTGGCCACAACAGCTGGAGCTGAGCCGATCCAAAGCCAGGAGCCAGGAGTTTCCTCTGGGTCTCCCATGTGGGTGCAGGGGCCCAAGAATTTGGGCCACCTTCTACCACTTTCTCAGGCCATAGCTGGATCAGAAGTGGAGTAGCCAGGTCTTGAACCAGTGCCCATATGAGATGCCGGCACCGCAGGCGGTGGCCCCACCTGTTAGGCCACAGTGCCTATACTAATGTAGAACAACTATGAGTGACTCATTTCAAGACTTTATTTTTGGGCTGGCACTGTGGTACAGCAGGTTATGTTAGAGTTGAAAAAGTGTCCACCACCCCAAGAATGACTCCAAGAGGCTTTCTCTCATGCAATTAGCAAAGGGTAAAGTTTATTGATGATCCAACATGTTGGGGCCCCTGAGCGTAAGAGAACAGGCGGCCCCAAGAAGTAGAGAGTCGGGGTTTTTATACACGTTTAAACAAAGAAAATCAATCATTGCATAGATCAAACAGTCGGTGCAGAGTAAACAATTGATACAAGTTAAGTGATTTTACAATCAGTTGATTTATGAATACAGGGAGTACAGGATATTGAGTAAGGGCTTGATTAGACATCAGAGAACCATATGGCCTATACAGGGAGGATCAAAAAGCCTCCTATTACCAAAAGGGAGGGCCACACAACAAGGTTACGGGAACTGCCTCGATGGTACCTAGGAATGCAGCCGAATGACGATAAGGGACATATGGTGGGGTCAGAGTTCCAGGAGCAAATAGATTTCTTAGTGAAGGTTTGTTAATTTCTAAACAGTGACTCCTTCTATCTTACTTAGGTGAAACTAAGGTTACATCTACATTGGGGTAATTCACTGACTAACTAACTTTAAAGAGAATGGCTATACAGAGCAAGTCTAACGAGGTCGGGAAAGTTCACCAGAGGAGGGCAGGGGGAGCGGGAGCGGCTTTTAACTTTTTAACCCTTCAGTTACATATCTGGCTGCCAGTTTAAGTCCTGATTAGTTTTTTTAATATTTATTTATTTACTTGAGAGGTGGAGACACAGGTAGAGGCAGAGAGAGAGAGGTCTTCCATCCACTGGTTCACTCCCCAAATAGCCACAACGGCTGGAGCTGTGCTGATCTGAAGCCAGGAGCCAGGAGCCTCCTCCAGGTCTCCCACACAGGCACAGGGGCCCAAGGACTTGGGCCATCCTCTATTGCCTTCTTAGGCCATAGCAGAAAGCTGGATTGGAAGGAGCAGCTAGGATTTGAACCAGTTCCCATACAGGATGGTGGCACCGCAATCAGCAGCTTCATCCACTATGCCACAGCACTATTCCCTGCTTTTCTTCTGATCCAGCTTTCTGCTCACTCACTTGAGTGAGCATCAGTTGATGCCCCAGGTGTTTGGGACCTGCTACCCACATGGGGGACCCAGATGAACTTCTACTTTGTCCAGTTCTGGGTATTGCGGTCATTTGAGGAGTGAACAATTGATGAAAGATCGCTCTGTTTCTGTCCCTCTGCCTCTCAAATAAAATAAGCAATTCTAAGAAAAATTTCCCTTTTCTGTACCTTAGTTGGAAATGCTACTTTTAAGAGAAATGAGGTGAAGACTGGGATTCATTTGAAAAGAGGTGAATGGAAACCTAAGGAATAGTTTGGGAATACTTTTGCTTCACGCTGAAAAAAAAATCACTATGCTAAAAAGATTTTGAATGATGTAAAACTACAGTGATAATACAGGGGAAATTTTAAATATGATCATTTATATAAGTACAGTTATACATTTTTAAATCAATATGTAAGCATCTCTTCAGGAGAATTTCTACCAATCCAAGGACTGATTACACCATGAATTTCTACAGGCATGTTTGATAGGCAAAGGGATGGGGGTGGGAAGAATGAAAGAAAAAGAAAGAGCTTGCATCTCTTGATTCATTTACTAAATGCTGAAACAGTCAGGGCTGTATTTGGCCAGAGCTCTGTGCTGGGAACTCAATGCAGATCTCGCACATGGACAGCAAGGACCCAAATTCTTGAGCTGCCTTTCAAGGCCCATACTGGCTGTAAACTGGAATCAGGAATCAGAGTCTGAATCTGAACTCAGACCCTCCAATGTGGAAAGCAGATATCGTAACTGGCATCTTAACTGCTATTCCAAATGCCGTCCTCTACATGCATTTTTAGGTTTACCCAGACTTTTATCTTTGCTGGATTCTTAATTTCATCATTGCATGTTAGGTTACTTTATTAATTCTTAGCACATGCCAAGTGTTTAAAATACTACCCAATTCTTTATAACATGGTCTTTCAGTTGCATGTAATTCAAAGTTCTTAAAACCATTACAATTTATTAATCTTGATAAACAATCCTTACTAGAAATAAATTATAGTAGGATTATCTTCTAAACATAATCTACCTGGAACATATGTGTAAGAGAATAAAGGGTGGGGCAGACAGGGAATAAAATGCCCAGAAGAATCTCTATCCAAAAGCAGTATCTTTGGGTCTGGTGTTGTGGGGTAGCAGATAGCACTGCTGCCTGCTATGCTGACATCACTTACAGGTGCCATTTTGTGTCCCAGCTGCTCCACTTCTGATCCAGCTCTCTACTAATGGCCTAGGAAAAGCAGCAGAAGATGCCCAGGTGCTTGAGCCCCTGCCACCCATGTGGAAGACCCAATAGAAGCTCCTTGCTCCTGACTTCAGCCTGACTCACCACTGGCCATTGCACCCATCTGGGGAGTCAACCAGCGTATAGAAGATCTCTCTGTCTCTCCCTCTCTCTGTAACTGACATTCAAATAAATTTTCTTTTTTTAAAAAAAAATCCAGTAGACCTCAATATTTACATCGATCCCTAATTTGTAAATGAGCCTTTCTGACTGCCTGATATCAAGGTCCCCTGCCTTATACACCTCAGGTCTCTTTGTAAAGGAGTAATACATAAGGCGTCCATTGCCTTGTCGTTTTTTAATTCAGAGAGGGAAGTATCAAAGAGAATGTCCCACAACAAAGCACTTTAGCAGGATCACTGAGCTGTTGGATAATATGGGCAAGAGCAAACCTGACTAGAAGCTCCCATTGGGAGAAACTGACTTTGACTAAGAGGCCTCCAGAGTTACAGAGGGAGGAGTGATTTGGTTCTCTCTGGCACAGGATTTACAATATGACTCTGACATCTCTCTACAGAGATCATCCTTGTTATTTTTGGATTTTACAGTTCCCTGCATCCTGATTCTCTTCACTGTCATAAGAATATAAACCATAAATGATACTTCTGGCCTCCTGAGATTGTGGATCTATTTTGAGCATTTGATCTAGTGATTGCTCTAGTGATTAAGATATAGGTTTAAGATGCCCTTGTCCCATATTAGGCTACCTAGGTTCAAATCCTGGCTTGGCTCCGACCTCCAGCTTCCTGCTACTGTGCATCCCAGGAGACACCAAGTTAGGACTCATTTAATTCTGTCTCTGCCACTTACATGGAAGAGAAGAACTGTGTTTCCTGTCCTTGGCCTGTGCACTGCAGAAATTTATATGTAAGTTGGGTGGGAAGGTGGGAGACTTCTCTGTTTCTGTTTCTCTTATCTCCCTGTCTCAAATTTTAAAAAAGGTGTCAATTCTCCTTCCAGCTAAATTTTTTTTAAAGATTTATTTATTTGCAAGTCAGAGTTACACAGAGAGAGAAGAGGCAGAGAGAAAGGCAGAGAGAGAGAGAGAGAGAGGTCTTCCATCTGATGGTTCATTCCCCCAGTTGGCCACAATGGCCAGAGCTGAGCCAATCCCAAGCCAGGAGATAGGAGCTTCTTCCAGGTCTCCTACACAGGTGCAGGGGCCCAAAGACTTGGGCCATCTTCTACTGCTTTCCCAGGCCATAGCAGAGAGCTGGATTGGAGGTGGAACAGCCGGGTCTCGAACCAGCACCCATATGGGATGCTGGCACTTCAGGCCAGGGCATTAACCCACTGTGCCACAGCACAGACCCCTCCAGCCAAAAATTTTAACAAGAGTCAAGAGAAATTGATGGTTCATTCAGCCTATCATCCTTTGCAGCTGCAGATCTTATATAGATCAATGTGCTTAGTCTTCTGATTTCCAGCTTTTCAACTACATCCACAGCTTTTTAAAATTAACACTTTGGGTGCTTTTAAGACTTACCTGTGGTCCCCAAACAACTCAAGTTTAAAAATTAAACAGATGGCATTGTGGCATAGCAGGTTAAGCTGCCACCTGCCCCACTTCTGATCCAGCTCCCTGCTAACGTACCTCAGAGTGCAGTAGAGGGCAGCCCAAGCACCCACATGGGAAACTTGAAAGAAGCTCCTGGCTCCATGCTTTGGACTGGCCCAGCTCTAGCCATTGTGACTATGTGGTGAATGAACCAGTGGATAGAAGATCTCTGTGTCTCGCTCTCTCTGTGTAACTGACTTAAAAATAAATAAATACATATTTTTAGAAAGCTAAACAGACCTTAATTTTTGTATTTTTAAAATTATATTAATCTACTTGAGGGACAGAGAGCTTCAGATAGAGAGAGGGAGGGAGTCCCATTGGGTGGTTCACTTTTCAAATGACTATAATGGCCAGGGATGGACCAGGCTGTATCTCAGAGCCATGAACTCAATTCAAGTCTCCAAATGGGGCAGTGAGAAATCAATGACAGCTATGCATCAGCAGAAAGCTGGAATTTGGAGTGAAGTAAGATGCAAACTTAGACACTCTAGCATGGGATTTAGGTGTCCCAGGTACCATCTTAACCACCAGGCCAAACGCCTGCCCCAGATCTTAGTTTAAATCATATTTTGGCTGCTTAGTAACAATGATCATTGATAATAATCTATACTCTCTTTATCTAGTTTTCACTATCTGAAATGAGATAATAGAGGTATAATTAAGCTCAAAATATGCACATGGAAGTCCAGTCAATAGGTAGTAGGGATGCAAAATCAAGGTTTTGGCTGAATGAGTTCCAGTTGACTACAGAGTATTTCCCCCTCAGCAGAGCTCACACATGAGTGGATCTAAAGTAGCAGACACTGACATGCATACAAGGAGCTCACCACAGGGTGCCTCCACATCTTTCTCATCATGCACTGCTCACAGGCTACATGTAGCTGCCTCACACTCCGAGACGATCACAGTGCTGTCTTGGTCGAGTCTCCAAATCCAGTATATCCTTTCAGTCATTAGGCTTATTCTTGATCAAACAGAAAAGTACAGTAGAATGGGAAAATTAAAATTAATAGAAAATCATGGCTATGACATCAAAACAGCATCCAGTAAAAATGAGTTACATTTATTGACTGAGTCCATAATCAGATCATTTAACTGTAGTAGTCTTGAGTCGTGAGAAAAAGAGCTAAAGGAATGTTCTGAGTGTGTGTATGTGTACATATAAAACTACACAACTCATTCCCTATCAACACTCATAGAACTTTCTGCAGAATCACTCCATAAATCACCATGAACATTAATAGGGTAAGACAAAACTTTGCAAGCAGTAAAGTCTTGATATTTACCTTCCTTCTAAAGGAAACACAATGAGTGTGTCCATGGCTAAAGTGAAGTGCTGGAGGCTAATTCAAAGCATGTCCATTGAATTCTGCATGATATACTTTGACTTTTGAAACTCAGGCCCATAGTAGACCTCCTCCAAGAAGTTAAGCACAAAATCTTTTTTTCTTTTTCTTTTCTTTTTTTTTTTGGGGGGGGGGGGGACAGGCAGAGTTAGACAGTGAAAGAGAGAGAGAGAGAGAAAGGTCTTCCTTCCGTTGGTTCACCCCCCAAATGGCCGCTATGGCTGGCGCACTGTGCTGATACAAAGCCAGGAGCCAGGTGCTTCCTCCTGGTCTCCCATGCGGGTGCAGGGCCCAAGCACTTGGGCCATCCTTCACTGCCTTCCCGGGCCAGAGCAGAGAGCTGGACTGGAAGAGGAGCAACTGGGACAAAACCGCACACCAACTGGGACTAGAACCCAGAGTGCCGGCACCTCAGGCGGAGGACTGGCCTAGTGAGCCACAGTGCCAGCCTAGAATTTGAGTCTTATACTAAACCTCCCAAGCTAAAGTCTTTGCCATACAGGAGCCCCTGAGAATTCTACATTACAAAGCTGCAGACTATAAGAGCCACATTTTGTGGGTAACATTTCCATATGTTTAGTCCACATATACAAGTATAGCCTGCCTTTGTTTTTATAACACATATTATAAAAAAGAATGTAGCATCTGTGAGCAATATATAAAAGGAATCTCTTACTGCACTAAAGTATGTAATTCTAATGAAATCTAATTGGAAAGGACACAGAACTGACTCACAATCTAATGTGTCAGCAGCTAAAGGCTCAAAATGGATAAAAACCCTCTTTGGTAGTAATGCTTGTCCAGAGCCCCCTTCTTCCTGAAATGTTTGTTAGAATACTACTAATACTAGTCTACTATTAGAATAACAGGATAATAATTCTAGTATTTTTATAGATGGAAACTTTTATTAACAAAGCACACTTCACAGTTCCTTGGTGCTTGCAGTTTCCCAGAATAACCAGAACATAATAGCGAAGAGCAGTGAATGTTGGGGCAGTGTATTCTGGTTTCCTACTGTCACTTTAGGGGTGCTGTGTCTCAAGCCCTAGCAACAACAGAAAACCTGAAGAATACATCTCTTGATTCTGAGACCTCAAAAGTATCTGGAGATAAGTGGTAAGAGATAAGTGACGTCACCTCAAAAAGACCCACATAAGGGCAGGTAAAGCAGGATGGACCACTAAGTATGACTTCAAGTGACTTTAGATTGCTGTTTCCAGTGCTGTTACTTGATGTCTGAGGATGTCTACTCTTTGTCACATTCTAACAAGAACATGTGCATTCTCACCAATAAGACTGTAATATGCCTACAGTGAGGACATTCTGGCCAGGGGCATTCCTGTGCTACAGACTGTGCTATAGACAAGGGGACATTTACTCTAACACATCATGCACCATAATGAAGTTGCCATAGGTTTTGAGGACAGATTAAGGAGGAACAGACATGTAAGGGAAAGAGATGACAAAGTGCATGCCTAGTACAAGGCCAGATGAGAAAGTACTCCTAGGAGTCTATGTCCCAAATGACTTCTCCATTGCACCTGAAAGTATAGGAGAAACTGAGCTAAATTGTTATGTGATACTTGTGTTCTCAGCCTTCTCAACAAACTCATTTCCCTTTCAAAATGAAAACAAAAGTTCTAGGTTCTGATGGAAATGTAAAAACACAAAATGGTGACAATGGTGTAAGGGCTGGGAACAGGGGATGCAAGCTGGAGGGTTCTGTTTAACACATACCAACACTGTCACAGCAGCCTTGGCATGTGGAGGGGAGCTCTATTCATTAAGAAAGGGGCAGGTGCCATCCACATGTCTACACAACTGACTTAGCCTTGCACAATAACCATCTTAATTATAGTCATGGGAAGGACACAAGTGAAAGTCACTTTTCACCAAGAGGGGGGAGAATGAAAGGGGAATGCCAGGAGAAGAGGGGGACCTTGACACAAGGAAGACTGTGACAAAGACTCACCCTGCAGAGAAATGTGTAGATTTTGGAGAGAAGGCTGCTAAATAATGAGATTCTGCCCTCTAGGGGCATGGCACTGGTATGCCAATCCCCATATTCAATGCCAGGGAGTGACTGGATGGCATGAATGCTAGAATACCAGGGTCACCAAGGCTATCCTAGCTCTGTCCCATGCACTGTATCTGAGCTCTCCAAAGGGCAGTTACCATCCTTGGCCAGCAAGTATATCCCTATGGAACTTCCCCAAACTGCAGGTGTACTTTCAACACCTTTCTCAAACATTCCATCTACCCCTTTCCTATTGTGCTTCCTGCCTCCCCACCCTGCCCCAGACATGTCTCCTTAGGAAGAGACTGCCCCGAAGGAGGGATCCCTCAGAAATTCAGGCCTCAATATCACCCCCACCTCCCTAACCCTTGGGATGAATCCAGCATGAAGAAACCAGTGCAGAGTACCTTACCTAGGAGAATTTCAGACAGGGAGTAACTTTCAGCATATGCAGTGGACAAGAGGCACAGCACCATCCCTGCCTGCTGCTGTGTGTGTCAGAGCAAGTCAGGGCCTGGGGCAGGAGCACAGGAGATGCAAGATTCCTACTCTAAAACTTTTGAAGAAAGGAAATGGGTTCATTTTGGGTTAAGAGTAAAGAAAGAAGGGTGGAGGACAGAGGGTCAGGGAAGGAAATGCACATTTTTACATTTGAAAAATGGCTTGAAAAATTGGCTCTTCACTTAAAGACATAAACAGACTTTGGAAAGTAGTGTTGGAAAGACAACTCACTATGTACAATGGAACTGTAATAAGACTGTCAATATATTTTTCAGCAGAAATTTTGCAGTCCAGAGGGAGTGGTATGGTTTATTCAAAGTCCTGAAAGAAGTAAACAAGAAAATGTGAATCAATGTATTATTTTCAGTGATCCTGTATTTCAAAAATGGAACATAAAGAAACTTTATTAAAAAAAAAAAGGTAAAGGTGTTTATCACCATTCACTGGAAAAACTGCTAAAGGAAATTCTTCAAGGGGAAGGAAGAGGATACTAACTAGTATAAAGAAATCATGTGAGGGGCCGGCATTGTGGCTCACTTAGTTAATCCTCTGCCTGCAGTGCCGGCATCTCATATGGGTGCTGGGTTCTAGTCTTGGTTGCTCCTCTTCCAGTCCAGCTCTCTGCTGTGGCCCGGGAAGGCAGTGGAGGATGGCCCAAGTGCTTGGGCCCTGCATCCACATGAGACCAGGAGGAGGCACCTGGCTCCTGGCTTCAGGCCAGCGCAGTGCCAGCCATAGTGGCCATTTGGAAAGTGAACAACAGAAGGAAGACCTTTGTCTCTCTCTCTCACTGTCTATAACTCTACTTGTCAAAATAAAAATAAATAGAAATCATGTGAAAATACAAAGCTCATCAGCCAGTGTGCATACAGTATCAGATTCAAACCACTAATATTCTAATTATGGAGGACTGATAAATTATATCACTAGTAAAAGGTTAAAAGACACTCTATAGGGGCTGAAGCTATGGCATACTGGGCTAAGCCTCTACTTGTGGTGCTGGCATCCCAGGTCAGCATCAGTTCTTGTCTCAGGATCATGTCTTGGCTAATCTGCTTCTGATTCAGCTCTCTGCTATGGCCTGGGAAGGCAGTAGAAAATGGCTGAGGTGCTTGGGCCCCTGCACCTGCATGAGATACCTGGACGAAGCTCCTGGCTCCTGGCTCCTGGCTTCAGATCACCCCAGCTCCAGCTGTTGTGGCTATTTGGGGAGAGAACCAGTGCACAGAAGACCTTTCTTTCTTTCTCTACCTCTCTCCATCTGTATCTCTACTTCTTAAATAAAATAAATAAATAAATGAAAAATAACTATAGCTGCAACATTTCCTAAATGATACAAAGTATAAGGTGAAAATGTGACATTCCAACATAAAATGTAGGAGGAGGGGGAGTAAAAGGATAGTCTGTGAATGATATCAGATTAAGGCTCTCAACCTAGAGTTTTTTATTTTTTTTTAATAGAATTAGGAAAACCACTAGGCAAACAACTATATCATGAGGGATCTCTTAAAAGTTCAGGAAAATGTGTAATTTCAAAATATTTTTCACCAAAATAAACTTATATTTTAATTCTAATTTCATTAACTTTTTGAAATAAAGATAAAAAAAAAGATTTTTTAAAAGATTAAAAGTATGTCACTATAGAAAATCATCAAGTCACAAAGGATATTGGTTAGAGATAAAAAAAGATGAATTTATAAAACAATAGTACTAATAAAATAGTAATAAATCCTCACCTCTTAATAATTATTTTGAATGTAAATGAATTATCTAAATAAAAGGCAAACAATGGATGGAAAACATAAAAAAGATAAAGATATGACTATATAGAGGCTACAAGAGGCTCATTTACTTTAAAGGGCATTTATAGATTGGAAGTGAAGGGATGGAAAGAGATAATCAATGTAAATGAAAAGCAACAATAATCAGAGGTAACTATAAGTCAGATCAACTAAATCAGACTTTAGGCCAAAGCTGTAACAAAGAGACAAAGGTCACTGTATAGTGATAAAAGTATCAGTTCAAGTGGATATAAAATTATACACACACCTAAACTCAGACTATCTCTCTGTCTCTAAAACACAGGAATACATATAAGAAATTTAAAGGAAAACAGACTATTACACAATAAAGGCAGGGATTTCAAATCCCCATTTTCAACAATAGATCATCTGGATTGAAAATCAACAAGAAAACATTGGGACTGAATTATGCATTAGGAACAAATGGTCCTACCAGACATATACAAAACATTCTGGGGGCTGGTGCTATGGTGTGAGCTGAGACTCCACCTACGGTGCAGGCATCCCATGTGGGTGCCAGCTCTAGTCCTGGCTGCTCCTCTTCTGATTCAACTCTCTGCTATGGCCTGGGAAAGCAGTGGAGGATGGCCCAACTGCTTGGGCCCCTGAATCCGTGAGGGTGACCTGGTAGAAGCTCCTGGTTCTGGGCTGCAGATTGTCTCAGCTCCAGTCATTGCAGTCATTTGGGGAGTGGACCAGCAGATGGAAGACTTTTCTCTCTGTCTCTCCCTTTCTGTAGCTCTGCCTCCCAAATAAATAAATAAAAAATAATTTTTTGAGATTTAAAAGCAAGATTTATTAGAGTCAAAGACCTCATGATAAAACTGGAAGCTCCCAAGGACAAGTACTTCTGACCTTGCTAAAGGTAACTTTTGGGATAAATAAAATCTAGAAAAAGAACAAACAAAAAAAACATATTTTGTCCAAGAACAATATAATAAAATCAAAAGTCATCCAAAGTACACATAGAATATATGTGGTCATACATTAAGCCACAAAAATAATGTCAACAAATTTAAGATTAAAATCATATCAAGTATAATTTCACACCCTAGTGGTCTGAAAATAGAAATTAATAATAGGTGAATTAGAAAATATACAAATATGTAGGAACTAAGCCATAGACAACCCTAAATAACTACAGGATCAAAGAAAAACTAAAGAGGGAAGCTAAAAATACCTTGAGGAAAATAAGGAAACAGCATACAAAGCTAATAGGATGTAGCAAAATGTAGTACAATACCACCACAACAAAAAAGAAGATATCAAATAAACAATTTAATTATCTAATGTTATAGCTCAACAAATTAGGAAAAACACTAAATAAGAAAATCAGCAAGAAAAGGAAATGACAGAGATTAAAGCAGTAATTAAAAATACATTGTGGGGGGCCACACTGTGGTATAGGGGGAAAGCTGCTGACTGCAGTGCCAGCATCCCACATGGGCAATAGTTCCAGTCCCGGATGCTCAACTTCCAATCCAGCTCTCTGCTATGGACTGGGAAAGCAGTAGAAGATGGCACAGGACCCTGGGTCCCTGCACCCACTTGAGATACCTGGAAGGAGCTCCTGGCTCCTGGCTTCAGATCAGCCCAGCTCTGGCCACCACAGCCATTTTGGGAGTGAACCAGTGGATGGAAGACTTCTCTCTCTCTGCCTCTGCCTCTCTGTAACTCTGCCTTTCAAATAAATAAATAAATAAATAAAGTTAAAGTAAAGCCCTCATTTAACATCATAAAATAAAACTACTTATGATTGAATTAACCAATAAGGAGAACGATCTGTATACTCAAAAGTGTGACATATCAATAAAGGAAATTGAAGACAGCAGAAACAATGGAAAGCTAGTCCATGTTCATAGATCAGAAAAATAATATTGTTAAAATGTCCTTCCTACCCACACAAAACAATGTAGATATTTAATGCAATCCCAATCAAAATTTTAATGTCATTCTTCACAGAAACAGAAAAAAATATTAAAATTTGTATAAACAGGAAAGATTAAGAATCACCAAAACAATCTTTAGCAAAAACACCAAAGCTCGATGTATTACAAAGCTACAGCATGGTACTGGCACAAAAACAGAAACATTGACTGATGAACTAGGACAGAAAGCCCAGACATAAACCTAAAAATTGACAATTAACTGATTTTCAAATAAGGTACATAAATGTAGTAAACATAAAATGTAGTAATAGTAGTCTCTTCAACAAATCCTGCTGAAAAAAAGTGCCATCCACATGCAAAATAAATTGGCTACATCTAAATATTTATATGCAATCACTAAAAAATAGATTTCATGCTCAAATATAAAATCTAAAACTAGAAAAGTACTAACAGAACAGGAAAAAGTCCCAAGACATCAGTCCAGAAAATGATTTATTGGATGTGATTCCAAAAGCCAGGCATTAAAAGAAACACAGATTACTGGGATTATAGGAAATTAAAAAATATTTATACTGCAAGATAAATGACAAAGTGAAGAGAAAAGCTACACATTAGAAAGTAAGAGGCTAACAACAAATATGTATAAGGGAATCTAAGTACTCAAAATAACTCAAATATCTTTATTAAAATAAGAAAAGAAACCAAATAGACATTTCTCAGTAGAAGATATATAAATGGTCAACATATGAAAACATCTTTGATATTATTAATGATGAGACACAAATAAAACAAAAATAATGTATCACTTTTCACCTGATGGAATAGCTACTATCAAAAAGATGCAAAATAGTAAGTGTTCATAAGTACACTGTGGAAATGTAAATTAAATTAAATTAAATCAGACAGCTTAGAAAGTAGTATGAAGTTTCCTCTAAAAACATAACATAGAACTTGCATTGGATTTATTAATTCTAAAACTAAGTATATATTTGAACATGAAACCATTATATTTAAGATATAGCTGTACTCCCATGTAGAGTACATAAGACATAAAAACCATGAACATGTTCACCAACACATGAATGGACTAAAAATGTATTCTACTCAGATTGAAAAAGAAGAAAATTCTGTCACATGACAAGATACATGAATAGAGCACATTATATTATGTGACACAAGTCAGGCACAGAAAGGCAAATATATTATCTTGTTTATATCTGAACTCTGAAAAGCCAAAATGCTTATAAGATTCACTAAGTCATAAAACAGACTAAATAAATGTTAAAAGGACTGAACTCACAGGAGGTATTTTCTGATTATGAAGGATCACAAGAGAAAATTAGGGGCGCACATTTGGCCTAGTGGTTAAAATGCCCCTTTAAATGTCCATGTCCTGGATTTGAGCCTTGGTTCTGCCCAATATTCCAGCTTCCTGAAAATGTGCACACAAGTGATGGATCACGTACCTGAGTCTCTTCCGTGCATGAGAGAGACAGGAATGGAGTTTCAGGATCTAGGCCTCACCCTGGTCTGGCTCTGGCTGTTGTGGGCATCTAGGGAGTAAACCAGTGAATGGGGAATATTTTAAAAACAATATCTGATATCAGTAAACTACCCTTCTACCTTAAGAAATTAGAAAAATTGGAAAAAGCTAAAGCCAAACCAAAGAGGAAAAAGATATAGAGAGTAGAGTGGAAAAAGACAAAGAAACGATGGTGCAGTGGTGGCTACTTGCAGGTAGGGAACCAGGGGCTAGGGATGATGGCACATTGTGAGATCTTTCTGCCCAGCAAGATCCTGCTATCTCTGCACCCAGCCATACCGTACAGGATCTCTCCTTGACCCCAATTTGCTCTACTCATTCCTGTCTCACTTTTGCATTCTGCTGATTCCTCTGGGACAGGCCATGCAAGATCCACAACCCACTTGCTTCTGTCCACCCAACGCCTGGCAGGCTTGCTTAGCTTGCAGTGTCAAGAAATGTATAGTGTGTAAGCCAAGTTCACATGTAAGCAGCTTGAGCATGTTTGGATCTCCTGGATACTAAGAGTATATCTGCAACCCTGGTAAAAGAGAGAACTATGCTACTCACTGATAAATACAGAATTTCTTCATCAGGAAAATGATCCCCATGTCTCATCTGGAGACCAGGGGATATGCAAGGATCTTGATGAACACGGTATGAGTGGTGGTCAAGAACGGCAGAGAAATCAGAACCCTAGTCCAGTCACAGGAGCAGCTGCACACATCTCAGAAAGCAAAAGCAAATGAGGTCCTGCCCACTGCCATTGGTGGTTCCTGAACCAGGTGACCAGGTACTGAAACTGCTCCACCTCAGGAGACAGATCAGACGCACAGTGTGGACAGAATGTGTGCAGCCTCATCCATAATCCATGCTGCACTCACAGTGAGTCCCATCATTCCCAGTCACTCCTTCCCTCTACCCCTTGACCTCATGTTTGAGACATGCAGGCTCAGGAAGAAGGCCCTGAAGTCACTACCTTCCCAAGTAAGCCTGGCTTCAGCTCTGTCCAAATATATACCTCCCCAGGTCAACCCACTCCTGATCCCTCTCGGAGCCTGGGTCTCCCAACTGCCTGAAAGATACTCTGGGGAGCAGAGATACTCTGCAAGACGCTTGTCTGATACAAAGCAGTTGCAGGACAGGACCAGTGCTTTGGGATCATATCTTCCCAGCTTGGTGAAAAATTAAAAAATGAGCATCAATATTTGGGGCATCCAGTTTGAATAACTAAAGCTTCCATGTCCAGGTCCTACTTTTGTTTTCGTCTTTTCTGTTTCTTGCCCCTGTTTCCTTGCTGTACTCCATCTATAAACCCATGGAGAGAGGTGACTATGTCTCCTACTATGATCTGCCAGCCCCCTTACACTAGTTTTCACTTTATATATGTGAGTTGAGAGAAATATACAAAAAAGTATAGCTTTTAAATACACTTAATTAAATCTCTTAAAACAACTGATTTTTCTCAGTCTCTAAAAAAATTATCTTTAAGTCAATTCTGAGGGAAGAATAGCTACCTCGCTTTTGTTTAATTTTTTACAAAACACAAATAAGCATTTATTTCCCTTTAAATCTGTTTATTCTGTATTGCAGGTCTGCATCTCATGACTGCATTTGGGGGATCCTCAAAGGCCATGACTAGGGCTAACGTGCTTTTCCCAAAGGGCAGCAGTGGAGGTGGGAGGGTGATTTGCAGGACTGTCCTCAGCATGCACAACAAGAAAGGCGTGACTACAGCTAGAGCACCCATCAGCATGTAGCCTGGTCACCTGGGAAGACCAGGGTGAAGTGTCCGTCCTGACTGGGGATCTGCTGAGATCTAAGCTAAAAGCAAATCCAATCAGAAGTCAGAGAGGACCTTGTGGTTGGGAAACAGAATTTCACAGCAACTTTGAATGAAACTGAGGATCAACATGAAGGGGATAATGACAATAAAACGACTAAAATCCAAGTAAAACTATTATAGCACCAGACACGACTGTCTTTATGTACAAGGGTATCCAACAGGGTCAGAGAAGGAAATAGAGGTCAGACTCGGACCAGGATTCCAGGACTAACGGGAGTAACCCGTTTCAACAAAGTGTAGACAAAAAATAAAACGCTGGCACAGTCAGTGACAACAGAACACAAGGAGGATGGATGCACACAGGAGGGCCTACCATGGAGACTGCAGATGCCTGAACCAACTCTCCTCAAGACCGGGAGCGCAGGAGGAACCGGGAGAAGCGCGCAGCACACCCGCTGACTCCTCCTAGTCCCAGCCTCCGACTTAGAAGGCGCTGACGGACCTGAGAGGCTGAGGCTGAGGGCTTCTTCCACCACCACAGCTTTATTCCTGGCTCCAACTTGGAGACCACCTCACGGCTGCTAACGCAGGAACCTGTTAGGAGGGAAAAGAATCCTTAACGCCAGGCTCCTGCGGCCACCGGACCGCCGCCGCGCGCTTTTCGCCAGTTCTGCTGCGCCTGCGCGGAGAGGCCGGCAAACCTGGCGCGCTTGCGTCACTTCTCTCTTCCAAGTTCCCGGGACGGTGCCGCTCGGCACCTGCGCGGGACAGCCGGCGGCTCAGGTTGCAGGCTCCTGGGCGATACCTGCTGTCAGTCAACGGGTCGTTTCTCCCGCCAGCCCTCCTCCTTCCAGTCCCTCAGGGAGGCGCGGTGGAGCCCGCCCCAAGGTCCCCCGGTGCAGGAGAAGTGGCTATGCGGCCACGGTTCCGGGATTCCCGCCCGCGACCCGGACGGCCGATACAGGTCCGTCCCGTGGACAAGGGCTCCTGCTGCACGACTCCTGTGCTCTCCAGGAGCCCCCCCACCCCCACCATCCCCGTCCCAACCCTCAGGCACCCCAGCATCTTTCCAGGACTTCCCCCGCTGCTGAACCCCTTGCCTTCTGCCCCCTTTCTCTTTCCACTCGCTGCAGATTCTGGGAGCCCGTTCAGTCTCTACCCGGGGTGCCCCGCCTCCTACACTTCCCTGCTACCCCTACCTTTAATCTGGGGCTCAGGCCACTGTTTGAAGGTCACCCTCTGGGTCCCCTAAACTTACCCCGTAATCACTTGCAGACTCTGGTGGTCCCTCACCTCTTTCCAACTTAGCCCTTACGTACTTGTTCCTCCCCATCTTGCTAAGCCCCTTGGGTTTTTGACTTTGCAAATACTTTAACAATTTACCTCTCACCCCTCTTTCTCTTCCTAGCCTACCCCTGAATTGCGTCTCTTCCCTGGTTGGAATTCCAGCTCTCTACTCCACCTCATCCCTCCTAAGGGCTCTTTCAGTCCCACGCTGTATTCCTAGTCTCCTGTTTCGTGTGTAGCAGTCTAGAGCCAGGCAGTTCTGGTCTCTGAATATTACAATTTCTGCCGCACTGTGGGGAGTGCTGGGAGACAGACAAGTGCACCGAGGGAGGAGGGGAAACATTTATCCTCTTCAGAAACTCAACTGAAAAGAGGGTATTTATATATGTGGGCAAACACAAAAACACTCCCTGCCTGCACTTGGTCTGGAGGTTTGGAAAAGCTGAGAGTATTTATATGGTCATTTGGGGGTGGGGGTGCCCTGGAGATCTCACTGATTATAATTAGGAAAGGGTTGAGGAGAAACAACTGCAGCAGGCAGTTCTTCAAACACAATCTAGTCTAGTTGTACTTCATGCTGGCATTGTGGCCCAGCAGGTTAAATCTCTGTGTGCAGTGGGTCCTGGCTGCTCCACTTCCAATCCAGCTCTCTGTTAATGCACCTGGGAAAACAGAAGCTGGCTCCAATATTTGGGACCCTGCTACCCATGTCAGGGAGACCCAGATGGAGTCCCAGGTGCCTGGATTCAGTCTGGCCCACACCCAGCTGTTGTGGTCATTTGGAGAGTGAACCAGCAGGTGGGAGAGCTCTCTAACTGTTCCTTTCAAAGAAAGCAAGAAAAGGGGGAGGGGTGAGAGAGAGAGGGGGGAAGGGGGAAGGAAGGAAGAAGGAATTTGTCATCATTAAGTCAAGTTCTTTGAAAGACAATGGCTTGGGTTCAGGAGTTGTGCAACAGAAGGGCCAGTTTAAATCCTTTGCTGGAGAATGTGGATACTCACATCCTTCATGGACTCAAATCCTATACCTAAACAGAATTACACCTTATAAGGTAGCTACTTGCTTATCAAATGAGATGCAATAGGTAGATTTGGGTGTGACTGGGGAGGGTCACTCACCCCAGCATGGCAGGCTGCTGTAGATCTCCAGCATCACATCCCTGTACAGGGTCCTCTGATCATTGTCCAGATGCTGTTACTCACACTGGGTGGACATAACAGTCTGGTCTTATGACACCAATATCTTTTACAGAGCATTTGTCTTCAGCATTTCAGCTCTGGGTCACAAAACAGGTAAATAGGGAATCCATTCTCTCAGTGTTTTACATGTCTCTAATGTAAGATGAACTTAAAATGAGATTTGATATACATCTTGAATGTGGAAGCCCTGAAGAGAGTAAGAGTCACTGCATATCAAACCATAATCTAGTTAACTGCCCTGATATCCTGAGAAATCAGCAAAAGAGCACCAGTTAAAGCAAATTGCCTCCTGGGATATCACTGCAAGTCTATGGATTGGGCCTGTGGACTTTTCAGTAAATTTTCATGAATACATACACGGAATAAAGCTAAAGGTGATTCCACAGTTCACAGAAAGTATACAAAAATTTGAGAAATATGTGAACTGCCTGACTTATTAGTATCAAAATTTCTTATAACAAAATTAAAGAAACAGGAAACAAGGTAAAAAAAATGACAAGTTACACCACAGATTATTTAGGTTCCTGATAATAAAATCAGACATTGATATGAAAAGGAAGGAAATAGCATATGAATGGAAAACTGAACAAAGGATTACAGCTTACTTTCTGTTTTGCAAAAACCAATCTTTAAAGTTATGAAAATATAAATTGCTGTAAGAAAGGAAATACAGGGGCTGGTGCCATGGCTAACTTGGTTAATCCTCCGCCTGCAGCGCTGGCATCCTGTAAGGCACCAGGTTCTAGTCCTGGTTGCTCCTTTTCCAGTCCAGCTCCTCTTCCAGTCCAGCTCTCTGCTGTGGCCTGAGAGGGCAGTGAAGGATGGCCCAAGTGCTTGGGTTACTGCACCTGCATGGGAGACCAGGAAGAACCACCTGGCTCCTGGCTTTGGATCGGTGCAGCCCCGGCCAAAGCAGCAATTTGGGGGGGTGAACCAACGGAAGGAAGACCTTTCTCTCTCTCTCTTTCACTGTCTATAACTCTACCTGTCAAATAAAAAAATAAATAAATAGAAAAGGAAATACAAATTAAAATTATACAGTGTATTGTTTCAACTAATATGTTTCTTAGATTCAAATTTTGTATCTTATTTTATGATTCAATAGTTAACTATGATCATACTTTAGCTCTAATTGCTAAACATACCCCATATTGGACCAATCTGTATCAGTACTTTTGTAATTACTGTTATAAAAACTACCATAAACTGTCACCTTTGTGGCACTAGTGGTTTCTTAAATTGATTCTGTACTTCCAAACTTTCCCTGAAAGAGACCTAAAGAAGAAAAAATCCAACAGATTGGCAACTGTGGGAACTCAACCCACAGACATTTTTCATGTTATGAGAGTTTCCAGATTCTGAAAAAGTTTAAGGTAGAAATTAATTCAAGGTAAAAAAGGGTGAAAATCAGACTATTTCATTTATTCTCATCTCACTAAGGATACAAAATTATATCAGGGAAAAGGGCAACATTAATGAGATCTCAGATGAAAACACTGGATATTGTGTGATTGGGGCAGTATCAGACTTCCCTGGAGGTGGGGGTCTGAAAATATGCAAAGTAAAAACAACATTTTCCAAATTTGTGGGTTTGTCCTGCGGGGCCCACGCTGTCAGGATGGTGGGGTGATGGTGTTCCTTGACAAGAAGCACCAGAGACAGTTTTGGTGAACATGTCTGTTTATTAGCAGTTAGGCACAAGCTTTTATAGGGCAGGCAAAGGGGAGTAGCTAGCTCAGGGTAGCAACACTAATTCTATAGGATAAAGCCAATACTGGTGCCACTATACTACTCCAATCAGCTTGAAGGTTATGTAGCCTACGTAGCCTTCCCGGTGGCCTTATGGATCTGGGCCACATCTCAGAGCTGATCATTTAGAAGGCCCCCAGCAGGAAGTGGGGGTGGGAGATATGTGCCTGGGGCCCCTGCTGCCTGCCAGCAGTCATGCCATATGTGGGTCGCAGTGTGCTAAGCCCTCACCCAGGGTTTTTTCCATGGGGCATGGTGTGCTATGTCCTCTTGGCCTCCTGCATAGGCTAGGCAGGCAGTCTTCCAGCCTGGAACAGGATAAACCACACAAGCTTACTGAAAATCATAAGCTCACTGAAACAGAAAGCTTAAGCTACAGATCACAAGCTATATAAGAAAGGATATGTTTCTCAAAGAAAGGATTGGGGCCTGTACCACGGCTCAGTAAGCTAATCCTCCACCTAGCAGCGCCAGCACACCAGGTTCTAGTCCCAGTCGGGGTGCCCCTCTTCCAGGCCAGCTCTCTGCTGTGGCCAGGGAGTGCAGTGGAGGATGGCCCAAGTCCTTGGGCCCTGCACCCCATGGGAGACCAGGATAAGCACCTGGCTCCTGCCTTCAGATCAGTGCGGTGTGCCGGCTGCGGTAGCCATTGGAGGGTGAACCAACAGCAAAGGAAGACCTTTCTCTCTGTCTCTCTCTCACTGTCCACTCTGCCTGTAAAAAAAAAAAAAAAAAAAAAAAAGATTGGCCCTTGGCTCTGCTCCTGGTAGGTTTTCTTCCAACATTTAGAGTGTGTTACCTAGAGGATGACTTAATTGACCTTCAGGTTTTTGGCCACATGGATGCTTTGCTTCTACAATATAATTCTGGTGACAGGTTTTGGGCCATGTGGTATCAGTTCTATCTCTGGATGTGTTGATGATTAACAATAGCCATATGGATGTACAAACATCTCTGTTATGAAACCTCAATATGGACTCTGGACATAGGCTCATGTAAGATTGGTTGTCAATGTCCCATGGGTATTATCATCCACTGTTGTTGGGAGTAGCAGGCAATGACAATAAGGTTCCACAACTGGAAGCTCATCCGTTGGCTCATTGCAGTGGGTCCTTTTTTCGGTAATAAACAGAAATTGTAAGTATGAAGATTTCTGAGCAACAAAGCAACCTTGAAAAAGTTATAACAAATGAACTCAAAGGCCACACCAAAATAGGAAGTGAGCTAAATCTGGCACATAGGACTATTTCCCTATTTCTGCTTTGTAAAATCATCCCTATGCAAGACATATTTCACTTGCACAGTAAAAAATACACCTGAAGCAGTGACTCCTGGGACAGAAAAAATGAAACTATGAATAATGAAGAATATTAAATATACAGGACATGTTTTTAAATATAAATAACTAAAGAGTATCATAGTGATAACAACATATTTAGCCAGATTAACCCTTAACAGAAAAAGAAACTTAAATTAGAAGAAATTTGTAGCACAACTATCTGGGGAAGAGAGGAGGAATCAAACTAAAAGGCAGGAACTGGACTGAGGGGACATAGAAAGGGGAAACTCACACATTTGGGAAATATTACCAGAAGACACACTCCTGTACATGTACAGATCAAGGAAGTAAAAGTTGCCTTTTCATTGACTCAGGATGTAACAGGGAAAAATCCAGGGCTGAGAAGACAATAAAAAATACTGGGAACAGAAATTTAAGT